AGAGAGAGAGAGAGAGAGAGAGAGAGAGAGAGAGAGAGAGAGAGAGAGAATGAGCTTTTTTGAGGCCGGGACTGTGAATTATTCAAGTCTCTTATTTCTTCGGCGTGAACATCTGTTTCTAAGGCACACAGTATTGCTAGGGGCTAGCACGAGATAAACACATTGTATATTAATGGCACATTCATTTTACTCTCGTATCTGAGGAAACTGCTCTTCCCTCCCTCCTCAATGTTTCTCCAGGGCCTCCTATTTCAAGGCCGAGGCGGCGGCGGCAGATTGTGGTGTCTCCCTCACTGTGGCCGTAGCAGAGCCATCCCCATCACTGCTGAGGCCCATGAGCTCCCTGTGTCAGCCCATCTCTAGGAGGTTCTCCCCATTTTGTACCAGACCCTGTAATTTTAAAAAAGAAATAAAAATGGAAATATTTTACTGCTGGATTGTAAGGGTAAGTGAAAAGTTTTACTATGAAATAATGAAAACCTTTATAATACAAAACTATCAAATGTAAAGCTAGTGCTTTTCAGCATATCCTCCATCTAAAGCTATACACGATTTTGTTTTTAATAGCGAATTGAGTGAAAGCTTACAGAGGCTGTCATGGGGTTTACAGTCAACAATTCACGCACATCTAGTTTCTTCTCATTCATTGTTTGCAACCCCTCAATGTACCGTCGTCTTTCCTACTTCCTCCGTTTCCTATGCCCACTCCTCCCTCTTCCCTGACCTGTTTGAACTTTATCCTTGGGTAAATGCTGCCCTTCTGATCCCAAATGGCTGATTATCCTAGGGTCTCAGTACCACCCTAGTGCTATTTTTCCCCTAATAGACTTTTATCTATTGTTTGACTGAAAATTGCGTCATTTCCAGACCTGAGGTGATTAAGGACCACAGTGTGTGGGGAGGGGTAGGGAAATCCACGTCTCTATGGGAGCAGTAGGCCTGGTTATTGTTTCATTGGTTTACTTTTTAATGATTTTGAGTTTTGTTACATGTTTTCTCCCACTCTATCCAGGACCTTCTAATGTGATCTCTTGCAAAGCAGTTGGTAGTGGTGGCTGCACACGCCCTTGTTTTTCTCTTTCATTTACCCATCTCCAGTGACAGGTCCCCACCTGAGGACATACCCAAAGTCAGTGAGGGACAAGTTTCCATAGTTGTTTCTAAGAAGCATTCTCACTGTCCTTTCTTCAAGACATGAATGGATTCTGACTCAAGGTAACCGGTGTGTGCTGACAAGGAGCATACTCCAAAAGATTGTCAAGACTCGACTTTATGCAGATAGGTAGACCTCTTTTCTGAGGCATAGCTGTTGGGTGATTCCTACAATCTTTTGGTTAGCATTTGAGCACTTAACCCTTTGCACCACCCAAGGAATCAAACTAAATCCAAAAGACCCACAGCCATCAATTCCATTGACCAGAACCCAAACTACCACCAAGTGGATTCTGACTCCACAGGCACCTCGGGCATAGAACTTCCTCTCGTGGAGTTTCCAAGACTCTTAGCTCTTTACCAGAGTAGAAAGCCTCATCTTTCTCCCTCAGAGCTACTGGTGGTTCCAATCTCCTGACCTTGTGGTTAGCCCAATATGTAGTCACTACACTACCAGGGCTCCTCCATTGAATCATCGTGACCTTATAAAGGTTTTTGAGGATGTAAATCTTTACGGGAGCAAATAGCCTCCTGTCTTTCCTGCGCAGCAACTGGTGGGTTTGAACCCTTAACCATAGGGCTAGCAAGCAATTCAACGCTTATCGGACAGCGCCACCGCGTGTCTCGGCGGATACAAAAATATCGCTGAGCCATCTGCAACATTGTAGCCGCGTGAGAAACGACTTGGCTACTGGGCGGAACTAGTCTGCAGGGGGCGCCACTGACACGCCGCGCGAGAGACGCAGCCTTGACTGAAGTCACGGGGCGCTGCAGAAATGGTCGCCACTGGTCTCTCGGTCCTGAGCAGTCTGGGGTTTCTGCTTTCACAGGCCTGAGAGTGAGAAATAGAACCCTGCCAGGGTCCAGCAGGGTGGGCATGAGCGCTGTTCCCGCGACCGCAGGGGTCCCGCCCCAGCTGGCCTCCCGCCTAGGCGCCCGGCTCCGCCGGGGCCCCGGGCCCGCGGCGACCGGAGCCGGCGCTTCCCGGGCGCGGGCGGCTCCCCCCGAAGCTCCGCCCCGTGACGTGAGGCAGCGCCCCCGCAGCGCCCGCTTCCAAGATGGCAGCAGCGAGGCTTGCCCGGCTGTTGGGGCGGCGGTGACGACGGGCGGCAGAGCCCAGGTATGTGCTATGGGGAAGGTGATGTGGGGGAGGCCTGGGAGGCAGATTCGGGCGATGAGTAGGTGAGAACTCTTAGGGAAAGGAAACCGACCAGCTGGAGCTGGGAGAGGAAGGGGCCCCGGGTGGTAGTATGGACGGGGGCTGGGCGAGCTCACATTGCAAGGTAAGGCAGAGAACGCGGGAGGCCGCGGGGTGGGGGCTCCAGTGGAGCTGGGTTTTAACCCCTTGCCGAGCGCTGGCCACGCCCCTCCAGGTGACTCTGCCCAGGTACCCTTGCTGGTTGCTGCTGCCCCTACCCTCCCCCCGTGCCTCCTGAGGTCCCCAGCTCAGACCAGGAAAAGGTAGGAGAGGCAGGGGACGCCCCCTTCTCCCCGAGCTCAGGGCTCTGTGCCTGCGGCTCCCAGGTGGTCATGCTCCCTCCAGCGAAACCAGCTCCGAGGCACGTGAAGAACGTTAAGGAGCCCGTTTCCTTCCCCGCCTGGGCTCTCCTGAGGCCACTGCATGGTCCTGCCATAATTGCTTCACCCTCAGAAAGGAGTTCTTGGTGTGAGGGAAAATCCTGTCTCCAGTAGCTGCCCTGGCATCACTCCCCAAACAGGTCCCTCCGGTTGGGTTTGAGGTAGGCCCAGTGGCGGTGGTTAAGTACAGACAGTATCACCTCAGTGTAGCTGCGGAAAGGAGACAGGAGGGGAGTTTGTGGGTGAAGGATTGATCTTTGACTTTGCACCCTTCACTTTAGTTTCCCTGCTGAGAAGCCCAACTACACCCTGACCCTGAGTTCTGCCCCTCTGTGGGTGACTGGTTCTCCTTAACCACTTCTGCTCCAGCCGAGGTCCAGCATTGCCATGGGAGTGATGGATGAAGCCTTACTCTGCCCGCGGGGGCATTTCCAACTTTAGATAATGCCTCACAGTTCTGCTCCCCCGGGACCCCCTGAAGTCCCCATGCCCCCCAAGAAGACAGCTTGAACCTAGGTGAGTCTATCTTCCCCCCTTTAAGGTTGGAAAGGGGGTGCTCTTGACACACTTCTGAAATGGGCAGAGCTGAAAGGTGCGAACCTTTTGGGGGTGGGAATGGAGAGTAACTGGTGGAGTGGCTCTGGAGTTATGAGGAGCACTTGGGCTGAAACTAGCAGGTGGTGGGGTTCTTAATGGTTGCATCCTCCCTTCCCTCACACGATGGTACAAGGCTTGCTCCCTTCTGGAAACTAGCCCCCTGCCTCATCCTCAGCGCTGCCCCACTCCAGCCCCCGCAGCCTGCTGCTCACTGTAGCTCTTTTCATGCCTGCCGTAGAACTCTCTCCTCTCCTCCTAGACCCCTCCCAGGATGTTGTGGCGGCTGCTGGAGCGACCCTGCACGCTGGCCCTGCTTGTGGGCTCCCAGCTGGCTGTCATGATGTACCTGTCACTGGGAGGCTTCCGGAGCCTCAGTGCCCTATTTGGCCGAGATCAAGGGCCCACTTTTGATTATGCTCACCCTCATGATGTCTACACTAATCTCAGTCACCTGCCTGGGGTCCCTGTTGGCCCGGGAGGCCCTCCAGCTCCTCAAGGCCTACCCTACTGCCCAGAAAGATCTCCTCTCTTAGGTGAGTGTGAAAGGAAGGTTTGGGGAAGGAAGGCCAAGGTGCTGGGGCAGGAGGCTTGGGCAGGCACCAGGTGGGAGTTAGAGTTCGTGTGACCAAAAGGCTGGCTGGTTTGGCGGCAGAGTGGACTCTGAACTTGAGCCCTTGATTTGGGCCATGACTGTTCTGTGGCCCGCCCACTGTGGGTCCTTCCTGAACCTGGGCTAGGGGTCCTTCCCCTTGTGGGTGACTCCTGGCTTTTAAGTTAGAAGCTCTTTTGCTCTTTCCATCTGCCAAGTGTGGCTTCCAGCCCTTGTGGGATATAGAAAGATTTCTCCCAAGTTGTCTCCCCCAAATATATACCAAACCCAAGATGCTGCTTGTACACATGGTAAATGTGACCTCCTGTACACTAGGAGGTCAATGAAAGTAGGTCAGAGGTTATTCTCCTTAAACGGTATCAGCCATCTAGAGCAACCAAACTGTATAGTCTGACTCACCAGAAATAGGACCCACCTCCCTTCTGACATTGTTCCCTTGAAGGAGAGCCCGAAGGCAAGCCCAGGACCACTCGAAGATGACTAAGGTTAGGCTACTAGATAAGAGTCTAGGGTCCACTCACCTTGCCACATATGTACCCCATTCCCTCCCTTTACTAGTGGGCCTACCGAACCTGCGATTAGTTGTGGGGGGCTGGCTACCCCCACAAGCCCTGAGAGGAAGAGAACGTTGTGAAACCCTCAACTGCAAGTAGCCAGCCCCTTGCAGGCTCTGCAGCACTGCCTAGTGTGGGTGACCCCATCATCTGAGACGTTTCTGAGCGAGCCCCAGGGGCACTGAGCCTGAGAAGCACCAGTACTCCTCGGCCCTGGTGTCCAGTCCCTGACCTTGCCATCCCTCCCGACAGTGGGTCCTGTGTCGGTGTCCTTTAGCCCAGTGCCCTCGCTGGCAGAGATTGTGGAGCGGAATCCACGGGTGGAACTGGGGGGCCGGTACCGCCCGGCAGGGTGTGAGCCCCGCTCCCGGACAGCCATCATTGTGCCTCACCGTGCCCGGGAGCACCACCTCCGCCTGCTGCTCTACCACCTGCACCCCTTTCTGCAGCGCCAGCAGCTTGCCTACGGCATCTATGTCGTCCACCAGGTACCCCTCGCCCCTCCCTTTCTGAACAAGCCGCAGACAGATGGCACTCCCTTGCCATCGACTGGGTCCCAGCATCGTTTTCAACAGAGTGGACACTTGGCATTGCTCTACCAAACTCAGTCGCCTCGTGCTTCTTAGTCTCTGGGTGTTCCTGCTGTCCTGTGCTTTCCTTTGTTCAGTAGAAAGCACACATTTGGAGATAGATAAACCTGGGCTCAGATTCTAGTTCTGCCATTGGTTTACATGTGGGGCTTTGAGCATGTTCCTTAAAACCCTTACAGCGAGGCACATAGCTGTCAGTCGGTAACCCACATGCCACTAGCTCGTGGGCAGAATTGAAAGTTAGCATGTTATGCATCAGGGGCACTGTGCTTGCTGCAAGCAAGAAAACTTGCTGCACGAGGAGGGGGAATTTGCCTTTTCTGTTCTCCTTGCTCGGCAGCCCCTTTGATCTCTCCCTTTCCTCTTCGTACTGCAGCCCTCTCTTCCCCATGCTCCTTGCCTACCCACATGGGCTGGGCCCCTCCACTGTCTTCCAGGCCGGAAACGGAACGTTTAACAGGGCAAAGCTGCTGAATGTTGGAGTGCGGGAGGCCCTGCGGGATGAGGAGTGGGACTGTCTGTTTCTGCACGATGTGGACCTCCTGCCAGAGAATGACCACAATCTGTATGTGTGTGACCCCCGGGGACCCCGGCACGTCGCTGTTGCCATGAACAAGTTTGGATACAGGTAGAAGGCGTGTGGGGGGTGGGGGTTTGCTGAGCAGGCGGGAAGCCCACATCCAGTGGGAGGGCGGCTGGTTGTGGCTAGGGATGGTCCCCGTGAGACTTGTGGAACCCAAGCCTTTCTCTCCCCGCAGCCTTCCGTACCCCCAGTATTTTGGCGGGGTCTCGGCACTCACTCCCGACCAGTACCTGAAGATGAACGGCTTCCCCAATGAGTACTGGGGCTGGGGTGGCGAAGACGACGACATCGCCACCAGGTCAGACTTCCTGCCGCCATTTCCTACCCCCACCCCAGCCTGGACCCTTGACCTCTAGGGTCATTCCTGGGGGCCAGTGCCCCTTCAATACTGCCACCCCCCACCCCCTGCATTAAGCCCATTTTTTTGCCTTTAAGTCTTTTCAGTCCAGACAGATGGTGCTTTGTATACTGTTTAGTTTCACTCCCAGGAGCAGAGGGAAGATCAACAGGACAGTTACATAGTGACATGAGTCAAACGCTAGACAGGGGCAAGATGCCAGCTCCTCTATAGTATGGGAACTCCTGTGACCGGCAGGCTCAACTAGCCTCCTTTCAGTCCCATGCTGTGGCCATTTGGGCTTGGTGTGCCAGCCAAATCCATTGCCTCCTGCCCTTGCCTCCTCTGGGTACCATCTCTGAATTCTCATCAGTACAAGCGTACATTTTACTGCTACCTCTACTTCCTGTTGCTTTCACTCTAAGGTTGGGGTTTGTTGCTCTCCAGGTCTTGCCGACCTGATTCTAGTCTTACTGCCCCCGGAGGGTGAGGGAGGGGGTCAGTCGGGGCAGCTCAGCCACTATTCTAAAAGCTGCCTAGTGTGTTGGCAGTTCTGTTTCATCCTTTTTGTCAAAATGGCCTCCCTGTCCTTCCCAGACTACAAGGACAGCTCCTGGCAGCCAGAGACAACAAAGGTCAGAGGTGGCAGCCTACCTTTGTCAACTGTCTCAAGGCCCCAAGGGGCCTGGCACCAGGCCCTGAGGGTTTAGATTCAGCCAGCTTTTACATTCTCTGAGCTGTTCCCTCTGACCACCTGGCACCTTTATGCCTAACCAGTCAATAGTTGTCTGTGTCCAGAAGCATGCAGTCCCTGCTGGCCTCAGTTCTCACTCACCTCAGCAGCTTTCCTCCACTGCCACACCCTTTTCCTTTAGGGTACGCCTGGCTGGGATGAAGATCTCTCGCCCTCCCACCTCCGTGGGACACTATAAGATGGTGAAGCACCGTGGCGATAGAGGCAATGAGGAAAACCCTCACAGGTAGGAGGGAAGGGGGGCCCCTGGGAAGTGTTGCTGGACCTTCAGTATTCTGTGCCCCCAGGGTCAGGGTTACTTTCCAATCTCTGCCCTTCAGGTTTGACCTCCTGGTCCGGACCCAGAATTCCTGGACACAAGATGGGATGAACTCACTGACATACCGACTGTTGGCTCGAGAGCTGGGCCCTCTCTATACCAACGTCACAGCAGACATTGGGACTGACCCCCGGGGCCCCCGGGCCCCCTCTGGTCCCCGTTACCCACCTGGTTCCTCCCAGGCCTTCCGTCAAGAGATGCTGCATCGCCGGCCTCCGGCCAGGCCCGGCCCTCCAACTACTGCCAACCACACAATCCCCCATGGTTCTCACTGACCCTCCTCCCGCCCACCTCAATCATGAAACTAAATCAGAGGGGTTGTACTCTCCTCACCCGCGGCCCCTCACTCATCTGTAGAGGGATGTGGGGCCTGAAATGTAGTGCTGGGGCTTCTCCTCACTGCTGGACTGGAGCTGGGCTCCGCTAGGCCCGAAGGGTTACCTGCCAGTGCTTATGAATGTGAATCCTGATGTCATGATTTTATGTGACAATTCCTAGGAGTCCCCTGTCCCTAGGGTAGGAGCAGGGCAGGACTCCAAGCCCCTTCCTCTTCCATGGATAGAAGAGAGATGTGGCTTCGTGGCTTCTCCCCGGGCCGCTTGTGAATATTTATTCTATTTATGGTTCCGGGAAGCGTGTTTGGTGAAGGAAGCCCCTTCCTGGGCATTTTTTGCCAGTGCTGGGGCTGCTCCCTCTCCTGACCCTGGCTCGGGGCTGGAATTTTGATATATTTTCTAATAAAGGACTTGGTCTCGCCTTTGTTCTCATTTTCTGCATCCCAGGGAGGGACCCTTCGCCGTCTCTGCCTCCACCGGTCCCCATGCCCTCAGGTGACAGCAATGCCAGACAAAGCTGCCCTCCAGCAACTTTTATTGTCACGCCTGGGGCGGTAGGGGCAGGAAGAGGTGCGAGCTGGGGATCACCTGTCAGGTTCTGTGCCCAGGGCCCGGGCTGCTGCCTGGCGCCCACTCTCTATACAGTCATTGACAGCCACCCCGTCGTAGGAGGCGCCGGCCAGTGTCAGAGGCAGCCTGTGAGCTGCCAGGAACTGGGCGGCTGACTCTGGAAGGCAAGAGTGAAAGGACGTTTGTTACAGGCAGCCGTCCAGGGTTTTCGGTCTGGCCCAGCCCCACTGCTGCCCCAACGTACCTAGTTTTTTCCAGTGGCCTAGTGTATACTGGGGGATACAATTCTGGGGAGAGAGAAGCGATGCAAGGAAAAGTAGATTAGCTACCCCAGGCCTCTGGTAGGCATGCAGTGACAAACATCCCAGTCCTTGCCATTTGGTGGGGGCAGCTAGAGGACTTTATCCCAACTTACCTTATGGAGGTGGACCAAGCAATGACTGGGGGACTCCTTTAGTCCTAGCTGTGTGGCAACTGCATTCTCTGCCTGCTGTTGGAACAGTTGCTCAGATAAGCCTTGGCCACCAGCCTCTTGCATCTGTAGCCAGGAACCTCCCAGCATCACCTGGAGTGGGAAAGCATACTCGCTGTGCCTACACTGGGGCACAGAGAAGCCCTTTCAAAGTCACCACTAAGCAAAGCTTCCCCTTCTTACGGTCACTCTGAGGCCAGGGGGGCTCCCATCCTGCTCAGGGAAAGCCACGGAGTCATACACTATTCCCAGGACACCAGGGTCTTCCGAGGATGGCACCAAATGTCCAAATCCCTGGGGGGAAGCAAGAGATGAGGCCAGCAGGGAAGGGGCTCTCAGAATCCTCATCTCTTGCTCGAGTCACACCTGGACCGGCAGACTGGCTCCGTGGTACTGCAGGTTCACCACTGCAACGGACACGGCTGGGATGGCGCACAGCGCACGAGCCAGAAGGGCCGCCTCAGCAGGGAGCAGCTGGCTGAGCACTGGAGGGGAGGGGGGAGCTGCTATGAGAAACCCCTGGAGGTGACCAGTCCAGGGCATGCTGGGGTCCTGCTGGCCCAGGAAGGTACAGCGATTGTACCACCCCGGTTGGAGACGGGCAGGGGGAGCTACCCCATTACCTGAGGCTGGAACAGCACTGATAACATGGTCAGCCTCCAGGCTGCTGTCCCCTAGAGACACCTGGGAGGATGAGAAAACATTTGAGAGAATGGGAATTTGATAGTTGAAGGCTCTTGCTGCCTTACCCCCAGTAGCAGCAGGCACTGGGTGTTGACCAGCCTGGCATGGAGATGAGCTCTGTGATCTATGCGGTCACTCCTAGATCCAGTCCAGGAAGTGGGCAGCCCAAGGCCAGCGTTGCCATTCCAAAAGGCTTAATGGAGCTGCGTGGCTCCTCTACACACCAAGCCACCGAGTACTGTTTCTATCGACAGACTGAGATCAAAAGGGTCTTAAAAGACGGGCCCCCCATTAGGCTGTGGTCACCGGGGTGGTCCAGGGATAGCTTCAGGGGCAGGAAACAGTGAGTACCTCTACTTCTGTCTCCCTGGTCTGCTGAAACCACATAGATGGATGGAGACATTCACACATGGGCTCATTACTCTCCAGAGAACTCCCCTACCTTCCAGCGCCCTTCTGGCTGGAGGCTGAGACCTCGGACTGGTTGACCTCTGAGGATGCAGACTCCCCTGTTAGTCAGGTGGGTGGCAAGAGCCTGGGGCAACATCTCCAGCCCTCCTCGGAGTGACCACTGGCTCCAACGCTCAGCCCGAGCCTGGCGGATGAGTGCAGAGTCTGGCTGTGGGCTCTGCCCTGTGGAAGAGGAAGTAGCGAGCAATCCTCAAGGGGTATTCCTTGCAGCCCCACTGCCTCGCTCTGGCAGGCCTTAGTATCACCAACCCTTGAGCCAACCTCCCCTCACCTGCCCCCAGCAGCAGCCCCAGTAACACGGAACGATGGGTTTGTTCTGCTTGGAAGAGGCTGGGAAAGCAAGATCTGACGCTGAGCTCACGGCTGTCACCTGCAAACACTCCACGGCAGAGACTGTCCATGGCAATAGACGCCACCTGGAAGGTGAGGCTGGGGCTGAGAGGTCACAGGATAAGCAGCATTGAGTGCGCCTCACCGGCCCTGTCTGGAAAGGAGTGGAGGTAGGGCAGGGTTTGGGCTGGGAGCATTCCCACTGTAACAGGCTAGGAAGGAAGGAAGGGCGTTCATCCCCAATGCTAGGTTTGGGGGAAGCCTGGGGATGAGAAGAGAAGAGGGCATTCTTACATTATACAGAAGAGCTCTTGGGTGGTAGTTTTTTTTTTTTTTTTTGGGTGGTAGTTTTAAGTAAGGTTCTGCAGCTGGTTTGGGAGGGGAGGGGTCTGGGCAGTGTCACCTCAGATCCAAGGCGGCGCTGGGCAAAACTGTGCACAGTCTCATCAGGCTCTTTGCCCCGGGGCTTGGTCAACTCCCTCAGCCCAGCCCAGAACAGAGGTTTGGTGAAGGGCGGTGAAGGGCGGAATAGCCCCCTGCATGGAGGAAGGCATCATGAGGGGATAGGTCACGTCCATTCATTGGGTCTCTCTGGGTTGAGGGCGGCAGGGCTGACAGGGACTTGGGGCAATGGCAGGTCTGTGGGTGGGGGACAAAGTGGACCAATGCACAGTAAGGAAATGGTGGCCTTACCTGAGGCCGGTAGGCAGGACGTGCAACGCACCTCCTACATACAGGAACCTGTTCTGGGCTGCCGGGTGGTCTCCCCGGACAGGCAACACTTCGGAATCTAAGCCGAGCTCAGAAACCTATTTTCAGAAGGAGGGCACGCTAAGGGAAAGGCTGACCCACCAAGTATACATTATCCCCCCAGCCCCACTTCCCGGGAAAGCCCATTCCCCAGCCCCTCGCAGGCACTCACTCCCCAAGCCTCTCACCATGAGCAAGGTCCGGGCTCCCAGGGCGCCGGCGGGCCGGATGCCTCGAGGTCCAAGCTCAAAAATGGCTCCATCCGGCCCTCGTACGGAGTGGATCCAGCCTCCCACACGCTGGCTGCTCTCTACAACGACCACCTGGGCACAAGAAGCCGCTGCAGCCCACAACCGTGGAGCCAGGGGCCGTGAGAGGAAGAGGAAATGGGGGACACGTGGGAATCCCTTTAAAGGGGCGCGCATTGGCGGGGCACTCACCTTGGGAGGGTTCGGGGCCCGGCTCAGGTGGTAACTGGCCGCCAGGCCGCTGATGCCTCCGCCCAGTACAACCACAGTCCGGCCCATTAGGAAGCTGGAGAAAGAGGGGGGTTTATGGACAAGCAGACCAGGGAGCCCACCCCGTCACTGCTTTAGGGGAAACTGAGTCAGCGCTCGCAAAAGGGCTGGTGGAATAGTGTAGCTCCAACTCAGGGGCAGGACTCACTCAGGAGAGGTGGGGAGGCACAGAGAAAATGAGGGGGGAGGAGGAGGCAGTGGGCTCAGCCCCAAGACCCCACCCCGCCGAGGCTCCGCCGGGCGGCAGATAAGGCCGCACCCCCGCTATCTGCCTTCGCAGGGCTACAGGGGGCCGGCGGCTCGTAAGGTACCGGGAGGCGACTCCGGTCACACCTCCTACCGCCAACAAGTGCTCAATCCCCCCGCCGCTACTCCCGCCCCCCAGCTTTTCGGTCCCTCCGACTTTCCGTCCAATCTGTTTCCGCGCACGCGCCACACTTGCTCTGCGTTTGGATTGGCAGGTCCCCGAAGGTCCCGGATCACATCCACTAATGAAAGCACGACTCTCCTAGCAAGGGCGGGACGACGGCTGTAAGCTGAAAGTTAACCAGCTCAGGGCCTAGTCGGAGTGAGCGGTAGGTGACAGAACCCTGGCCCGGGCCAGAGCGGAATCCTGGAGTTGGCATTCCCCGGTTCAAGTTTCCCAGGCCCGCCGAGGGTGAGAGCCCGGGAGGGCGGGCCCCACGAGCTTTCCTTGTAAAGAGGGGATAGTGGCCCCCGCGCCGGTCCTTGGGGAGGCGGCTCCATAAACAGCTCCTTGATGTTAGCAACAAGCCGGGCCTACGGGAGCCAGGGCGACCCGGCAACGTACTCAATGTTTGTCAACAGGGGTCCTTGGGTGCCTCGCCCTCCAGGGGCAGCCCCCATTGTGCCCGGCCTTCCTCTTTCCTTGCAATACTAAACCTCCTCTGCTGGCGCACACGTGGGCATCTGTGGTAAACTGAGGGGCTGGATGAGAATGTAATACAGCTAAATCATCCATGCT